GTCTGGGAGGAAGTGAGGCAGGGGTGGGTGCAGGGAGGAAGGGGAGAATGAGGGGCTCCCTGTCAGGAGAATGAGACATGGCTCATGCTGCTCACAGCTGAGGCAGGGCTGTATGTCTTCTCAGTCTAGGGAACTGGAAGAGCTTATACACTCAACCAGGGTGGCACAGCCATGACCAGGTGGGCGGAGAGAGGCTTGACCACCTGTACTGGACTTCGAGATCTGCGCCACTGACATAAGTGTGTGACCGCTCTCCTCGGATCTTCCAAAGTTTCACCGTGCTCTGCCGCTTCATCCTCAGCCACTGCTGCTGTGACTTACGGGGATCCCAGCCACACTTCTTAACACCCAGAGTCCAGCTTTGCAAACAAGGCTGCCTGCCCATCACTATCGCTGTGCTTCTGGACAAAGCGAGGCCAGATGCCTTTCTCCTCTCACGTTCCACTGAGGGACACTGAGAAAATCAATTTCCCCTCAATACCCTGCGGATGCACTCGGCCTAGCTTTCCAGGGACTCATGAAATAATGGCAATGTTCATTTCTTGCTTCTGTGCCAAGTGCTGTGAAGCAGATCCTAGGCACACCTCAAGGATGCTACTATCTCCACTGTTTAGAAGAGAAGGCAGGAAACTCTGCCAGGCTCACAGACACCTGGAAACTCTACGCTGAGGCTGGCACCTCAGCAGCTCACTGCCAGAGCCCTGGCATAGACTACCTGCCTCTTGGGAAAAAAGTATTAGTAAGATTCAGGGAGAGTCTATCGTTTGGATGCTGGACCACAGTGTGGTGTTGTTAGGAGCCCTGAGCCCCCAGAGCGCACAGTGAGCTCTCTGAGACAGCACAGCCGGAATGCCGGAAAAGTCAGTTTCACTGGGGACAGTCATGGAGGAGAGAGCAAGGGCTCAACTTGTCCTGCAGAGAGTCAGGAGAGAAGCCACAGAAAAGACTGAAGGCCTATCTAACAGCAAGAGTCAGAACCCTTGACTGGCAGGCAAGTCAGGCCCCTGCAGCAGCTGAGCCAGACTGAGCCTCCCAGGTTTGCTAGGCGTCAGGGGTTTCCGGGTCTGTAGATAGACCTGTGCTCTGACTAGCTGCAGAGCTCATGGGATGGGGGACAGCTTTCTGATTCGCTTCCACATCTAGAGTCTGCCACTTATTTTGCCCTCCTTATTTTGTCTCCGTGCCTGCTGCAGAGAAGCCTGGGCCCGTAGGGCACACACAGCGGGAGAGCAAGCTGTCCCATGTCATAGGCAGGGTCACTGTCCTGCAGAAGGCATGCAGCAAGTAGTTACAATGGTGGAGGCGTCTGAGTAGCACAACCCCACTCCCCCCACCAGCAACAAGTGCCTCCTTCACCAGCAAGAACATACTCTCTGGAACTGGATGGAAAACCCCTCTCCACTCTCCACAATAACCCGGGTCTCCTCTGAACAGTAGAGAAAGCCAGGCATTAAAATATGTCTTTAGGTCAGCAGTCAGTCTCAGGGGTTTTTCAGTTCATGATCTGGAGACGAAACTGGGGAAGACTACCACTGCCTCTCTGGTCACCGAAGAGGGGTGACATAAAGGACCCTTTAATCTCACCCAGACATCTGTGGGCCAGCATGACAGTAAGTCCCCTCCCTGGCAAACACACAGGCTCCTTAACTGGGAACTTTACTACAAGTGACACAATGGAGCCTTGTTTATAGTTGCTAAAAGGTCACAGGAGGTGGAAGAAGTCTTGAAGGCCACAAATCTTAGACTCCTTCCTGCCCCACTGTCTGGGCTGACATCAGGAAGCCATGCGCGTATTCCACGCCTCTCCACCGGCACCTTGATCTGCTATGCGTGCTGCGCTGTCAGATCTCCGTTCAGGGCCATGTCTGGTTCTTGCCTAAGATCTCCACTGGTGTGTCTCTCACAGTGCAGGATAGTGTACACTCAATCCGAAAAAGATAAACCAGGCAGTGGTGGTGCACGCCTTAAATATCAGCATTCGGGAGGCAGAGGCAGGTGGATCTTTGTGGGTGTGAGGCCAGCCTGGTCTACAGAGCAAGTTCCAGGTTATACAGAGAAACCCTGTCTCGAGCTACCCCCCACCCATAAAAGGAAGATATGTCACAGGGAGCTGGAAGTGACCCCAATGTCATTCTGTCTTAACATTGGGGTTTGTGGGCTGTGCCTGTTCCTTGTAGGATACTTAGCAGTCAAGCATCTTCCCCACCTTCTGAACAACCACAACTATCCCCACATATGACTCCGGGACAAACTGCCTGGCTGGAAACCAGAGCCACTGGTGTGTATGGCTGAAGTCTAGGGATAGAGAGTGTTTAGAGCTGGCTATGCTGGCTCAAATCAGTAACCTAATACTCAGGAGGCTGAGGCAGGAGGCTTGCTTTGAGTTCAAGGCCAGCTTGGGGTAGATCGTGAATTCTAAGCTAGCCTGGACTAAAGTTTGAGACCCTATCTAAAAACAAAATGAAGATAAAACAGAAAGAATGACAGGGAGGTGATTTGAATAAGAATGCTTCCACAGGTTCATGGTTTGAATGCTTAGTGGAACTATTGAAGGAAGGATTAGGAGGTGTGGCCTTGTTGGAGGAGGTGTGTCACTGCCGGTGGGCTTTGAGAATTCAATAGTTCATGCCAGGTGCAGTCATTTTCTCTCTCTTTCTGCCAAGAACTTTAGGATCAAATGTAAGCTCTTAGCCACTGCCCCAGTGTGCTTGCTTGTTTCCTGCTGTGCTCCCAGCTATGATGTTAATGGACTAACCCTCTGAACCTGTAAGTGAGGCCCCGATTAAATGCGTTTTTTTATAAGTTGCCTTGGTCATGCTGTCTCTTCACAGCAATAGAAAACCAGCTAAGGGAATGAATAAGAATAAAAAATAAGAACCAAATCGCAAACACAAGTAGCAGGCCCAGGTTTAAGTTTCACACACAATCATGATGTAGGTGGGTCTTCTGTCTATGTGTTACTTTTATTGGCTAAATAAAGAGACTGTCTTGGCTTTTTGATAGGGTAGCAGCTTAGATAGGCAGAGTAGACAGAACAGAATGCTGGGAGAAAGAAGCAGAGTCAGGCAGATGCCATGAAGCTCTGGCCCGAGATGGATGTAGGTTAAACTCATCCTGGTAAGCCACAGTCATGTGGTGATATACAGATTATTAGAAATGGGTTAAATAAGATGTGAGAGTTAGCCAAGAAGAGTCTAGATATAATGGGCCAGGCAGTGTTTAAATGAATATAGTTTTCATGTAACTTTTCTTGGGTAAAGCTATCCGGGAGCCAGGCAGCGGGAAGCGGCCCTCTGCTCCTTTTTTACAAGTGGCTGCCCAATGAGGTAACTAATAGTGGCCCACTGCTCCTTTTACTACACAATCACTTCAACTTTACAACATCCCCACTGTCTTTGTGAGGAAACTGAGGCACAGAGAGTTTAATTTGGCCAAGGTGACACAGCCAGTGACTGCAATGAAACCAGTAACTTTGCTAAGAGAAAGAAGCGAGTAAGAAAATGGTACTCATGGTATGGTTTCACTTTTTTTAAAACACATACATGCATAACTGTCACAAAACACAAGTATTAGTGGTCATGAGTCGGGGAGTTGCAGAGGAATCTTAGTTTACCTTTTGACACAGAACCTGTGCTATTTATGTAGGATGGGAACAAATGGGATCTCATCCCTAGCTTTGGAAGTAAGTTATCTACCCCAGTTCCTGCCTGTTGCTGAGAGAGCAACTCCAAGAAAAACAGTTAAGGAAGGGGAGGGCTTGTTTGCTAATGGTGTAGGGTGCACTCCATTCGTGTGTGGAAGTCAGAGCGACAGAGCTTGGGGCAGCAGGTCATACCACATCTGCAGTCAGGAAGCAGAGAGCCACAAACCCCTGTGCTCAGCTCCCTTTCTACCTTTTTTATGGTCCAAGCCCAGGGAGTGGCTCCACCCACAATGGGCAGGCCTTCCCATCTCGGGTAACCTAACCAAGATGCCCTCCCACATACCACATGTGTGCCCAGACGTGTATCTCTCACGTGATCCTAGATCTCACCAAGTTGGCAACTGAGGTTAACCATCTCAGGGTCCTCTGTCTCATCTCAAGTCTGGGGACACTAGCTCTGAACTGAGGCAGGCATGGATGGGTTGGGGTCTCCACCTCTGTCTCATCTCAAGTCTGGGGACACTGGCTCTGAACTGAGGCAGGCGTGGATGGGTTGGGGTCTCCACCGAGTGTTGTGTGGAGATGAAGATGGGAATGTGGTACAGCAGAGGGTAGCCTCTTAGCAGTCCCTAGGGAAGCTCTTTGTCATTCCTTTTTAGAAGATGATGGGAAAGGGGGGTTGCTATGAACAAAATGGCCCTTAACATTTTATTATTGGCCATTAGAAAGCACTGAAAACCCAAAACCTGGCTGAGCAGCCCTCTTGAGACAAGTATGGGAAGTGGAAGAACTGCCCAAGGCAGGCAGGGTGAGGCAGGTGCCAACACATCAGCATGGGTTAAAACCATGGCAGAAGCAGCCTAGTGGTGGTGGCACACACTTCTAATCTCAGCACTCGGGAGGTAGAGGCAGGCGTGTCTCTATGAGTTTGAGACCAGCCAGGTCTATGGAGCAAGTTCCAGGATAGCCAGGACTACACACGAAGAAACTCTGTTTCAAAAAGAGCAAACAAGCAAAAACAAAACAAAAACTTGTGGTTTTTGCACCCATGAGATCATTTTATGAGAAAACGAACCCACAGATAGTATGTCTCACTGTTGCTGAGTTTAACGGTTGCAGAATAGAGGCCGGAGTAAAAATGGGCTTTGAAATCAGACACATCTGAGCGCAGCTGCACTTAACTAGTCCTTCCCTGAAGGGCTCGGAGTTGTCGCTGCGCACAGATATGGAGGGCTGTGGGGCTGGGGTTCTCTAGGCGAACACGAAGCCCAGTTTCTGACACAATCATGTTTAATGAATGATCACTCTTGCTACTGCCACCCCGGGGGTGGACTGATGGCTGATGTTTTCTTCTTATACTTTGGTCAGTTGGATATCAGCATATTTATTTTTAGAATCAGAAAGAAAAAAAAATCTCATGAAACAAAATAAAGGTGGTGAAAGATTTACAGGGAGCAAAGGGCAGCCAGGCAGTCGTTCTTTAGAACCTGTTCTGGGGGCTGGAAGCGGACCTACAGCGAAGGAGGCCCCAGGAGGCAGGTGGTTGCACCCACTGCTTTCCCAATAGTGAACTTCCTGCCTTTGAGCCCACTCACCACACAGATCTCAGGGAAACCCCAGCGCCACAGTGCCGCCCCCGTTCCCCGGACACCCACACCCGGGCGCTGGTATCGGGTAGGTTTCTTACTGCGCCTCGAAATAGCACTCGTGGTTTCTAGTTCCCAGCTACTCCCTTTCATGGGCCGGGGCTTCCCCAGAGCAAAGGGTGTTTCATCAGTGCAAGGGAACAAACGCAGAATTCATCTTTGTTGTTGTTCTTTTCTTTCGTTATCTTTCTTATACTTTATTTTAAATATTTAAGTCATCCCATTAGATAAACTATATTTCATTAAAATGTCAAACTTTTTACTTTAAAAGGTGATCCGTGGAGTAACAAGGCCACATATAGAGTAGGAGAAAATCTTTGCAAATTGTATATCTGATAAAGGAGTAATATCCAGGATATACAAAGAACTCCTACCAGCCACCACCACCACCAGCAACGGAAACCAAAACAAGCCAACTCAAACATAAGCGATGACTTGATGTTTTTCTCTACAAGTCATAAAGATGAATAAGTCAATAAGCATGAACTCAATGCATGGCTCACAGGAGAAATGCAAATCAAACCCACAATTAGATACTACTTCACACCCATCAGAGCAGCTACCCTTAAAAAAAGAAGGTCCTACGTGCTGTACATGCTGATAGGATGCCCTGGGCACCGTTGGTGGGAGAAGAAAATGACTACCTCTATATAGATGATGGTATTTTTCTTTAAGGAGGAAAGAAAGCAAAGGAAAGAAATAGAATTACTGTATGGTCCAGCAATTCCAAAAACACAAAAGAGTGTTTGAAGGTCATCAAGACTGGGCAAGGTGGCAAAGGGGCAGATTCCAGCTCTGGGTTCTGGGTCACCTGGCAGCCATCGAGGCCAAGCAAGTGTGCTGAGCGCAAGGTGGTGACCGTGTACCACGAGGACACCAATATCTTTGGCAGCTTCTGCAGAAACAAGTTGAAGTATCTGGCCTTTCTCCGGAAGCAGATGGACACCAACCCTTCCTGAGCCATGGCTTGAAAGCAACCAACCATTCCTATCCGACCACGCCCCTCCCCCAGCCCCACCAAGAAACGGAGAGGGGAGTCCAAGTGCTTGGGGAAGGGGAAAGGGAGGGATTCCAGAATATTCTAGAATTCAAACTCTTTAGCTCAGACTCCAATTCATTGGAAAGTCCCCTTAGAGACACAATGGGCCTCCACACAGAGGTAATGGGGAAACGTGGGCGCTTAAAAAGGCCTCGGAGGAAAACACAGGGATAACATCAAAAGCCCGGCATCCAGCCCACTCATTTGCCAGGCCCCATCACAGGCCCCGGCCGGGCCAAAGAGGAGGGCGTTTAGAGTAAGACCTGGGCTCGTGTAACACAGGGAACTCAGTAAAATAGTGTATATGTGGGGGCATGTACACAGACAACTGTGCAATTAAAAAAAAAAAGAAACAAAACAAAAAACAAACAAAACAAAACAAAAAACCACCCCGAACTTAAAAGTGGCTGAAATTCAAAAATACATTTCCCGAAAGATATACAAATGGTCAGTAAGTATGTAAAACGCGGCGGGTAATGGAACCACAGTTCTGAACCGGACCACAGTGACATTCAAGCCCACCTGTGAAGCAACGACAGACACTAACAGACGCTGGGAAAGGTGGGGATGCTGGAATTCTCACGCACGCTGATCTCACGCACGCTGGTGGCCATAGAAACAAAGCAGCTGTGAGTGGTTCCTTTTAAAATGAAAGTTTGAAAAAATAGGAAATGAAAGTTACAAATGAATTAGGGCTCTGAAAAGAAACAAGATTTAAGACTTTACATTCAAATGCATTGTGTTTTCTCTTTGATGAGAAAAAAATGAGGTATAATCTTTAAAAATCGCTATTTATTCAATTTATACACTGAATACATGTAAACTGCACTAGACTCTTTTTTATACTTTTAATTTATTTACATATGTACCGAGAATAAACAGAACTAGGAATATCAACGGATTTACCCATGAGGATTTTTTTTTCTGAAATCTTTAATTTAAAATGCTTTATTTAAAAGGCTGGGGGGTAGCTTTGCCGGTAACGTGCCTGCTGCAAACACTTCGTATTCCAAGCACTCACAAGAAGCCGAGTGGCAGCTTGTCCCTGTCCCCCAGCTCTGGGTCAGCAGGTGGTCAGGATGGCCGCTGTACAGGACTGGCCTCTGGGCCAAACTGCCACCATTGCAGAAGTTTGTCGAAGATTTCGGCAGCTGAGCTGAAGGAGGGGGCGGAGATAGTTACCGGACCCTCACCCGAGTACCCAGCCCCCAACCCAACCAACTATATTCAATTCTCCCCGAATTTCTCATGGTCTTGGGGACTCGGAAAGTACTGGAAGATCTAGGTGGGGAGAAGGAAGAGGCTCCACCTCGCTTCTCAAGTCAGTGGGGAGTCATCGTTCCTGGTGCTTACAGACAGACCTTCCAGTGCGGCACTCTGTGGTTGCCCGTGTTCCTCTCTATAACCTCTCACCCCCGCTCTGTAAGTTACACATGCGCGCGTGCACACACACACACACACACACACACACCTT